GGGGATGTCTTAGGGCCTGAGGGAATGCAGAGGAGCCCAGGCCTCAGAGGGGGAGAAGAAGGAACGATCCAGAGAGATTCCTCTTGCCCACCATCTGAGTTTCACATTTTATTTATTTATTTACTTACTTATTCTCCAGCTCAGGTTTCATTCACTCCCCAGTCTGGCCTGAACTTCAGGTCTCAAGTGGTCTTCCTGCCTTAGCCTCCTAAGTAGCTGGAGCCACATGCAAACTGTGCCTGGCTTCACAGCGTTGCTTATTCCCAGTCCTAGCTCAGATCTCTGTCTAATTTACTTAATTATATTTAAGTCAAATTCAAAGTGACTCAGTTTTGAACTTAGTGTTGCCTTAAGTTCTCAACTTATAAAATATCATGCCTGGTGCATATTAGTTATTTTATCTCAGTATTTAGTAAAGAAATGCATTCAAATTTTTAAATTGAGAAAAAAAGTAGCCTTAGAAATCAGTTCACATACCTTCTATATAGAAATTGGTGCTCTTAATTGGGGCATAATACTAATGATGGCAGTGAGCTGCTGAAAAAATGTTCAGACAAGAAAGGAAGAAGAGAATTTGTTTTTTCATTTTCTTTTATCTTATTTTTTAGAAGCATCCTTTTATGTGGAGACGAGAACACAGCAAGGCTAGAGTGGAGAAAAATGGTGAGGATGTCATTTGTACTTGTGCCAGAGACAGGATATAAAAGCCCAAATTGGAAAAGAAATTTGTTAGGGTTGTTTTGGCAACAGCCTGGGTTGTTAATCACCGGTAGATCTCATTCAACACTTTGAAGTCAAGTTGGTGCTTACCTAGAATCATTGCATAAACATAAAGGGAGGGGAACCCATGGTTGTCCCAAAGTTGTCCTATAACAGAGTTAGAAGTCGACTTTCTTATCACTAGAAGATCACAGGGCTGGGGTGAGGTAAGTTGTAGGAGCAGAAATGAACCCAATATAGACTAAGATATAAAATACTAAAGTAACGTGCCACAAATTATACCAGTAGCCAAAGCAAATGTCATTTGTTTAACTCCCATATCCTTCAGGGAAGTTACTATTATCATCATTTTATTGATAAGGACACTGAGGTTCACAAAAAATGATTTACTTAAGATTGCATTCCACAGTGATGGCGGGTCCAGAATTTCAGCACCGTCTATGTGTACGACACAATAGGACCTTTGTCTAAATGTTCTGCTGGTCACTTCAGATTGTATCAGAGCACACTGTGTTCAGATACACACAGGTAGAGCAGTCCCTGCTCTACTAAATGTTTCAGTGTTCTGTGAAGAGAAGTAGAAAAGACAGAGTTCCTTGAATGCCAATGGCCAGCTATGAGACAGAGGGACCACCCAGCCTTTACTCTCTGTAGCTTGTGCCCGAATGACATCACCTTTGAAGAGGCTGACGTGAGAGCAAAGACCAGCAGGGAATCATGCATGGGTGGCAGTAGGACATCTTGACCTTAGTCACTGCCAGGACAGACTGAAAAGATGCTGAGTGCTTCTGCTCAATGATTCTATGCTGTGTAGAAGGCTTCAGAATAAAGTGTCTCAGGACAGGAGAGCACTGGGGCTCTCAAGTTCCTTCCCTCTGGCAAGCTTCCAGAGGGTAGAAGCTGGAATAACACAGTGTGACCTCCAGAAAAATTTCCAAATTATACTTCTCAACGCTGATATGAAGTTAACATAGACAAGCTTACCTACCTGAGAGCTGGACTTAGGGATAATTATACAGAACTATGACCTAAGTCACACACACTCCCTCAGATGTCAACATAGCTTAAATTATACTCTGCTCATTTGGAGTAAGTGGCGCAAAAGCCGTTGTAAAATGTTCAAGTTGGAAACCATGGCAATTTTTATTAATTTTAAATTTAAACAACTTAAATCTCCGACATAGAATGTTTTCCTTTGAAGTTTTAAATCCATACAGTGGATATGAAAATTAAAATGAGTTATCATTGATGAATGAGTACAGGTTCCTTGAATTCAAATAAGCGAAGGTGAAGCTTGCCTTTGGAATTTGACAAAAAGACCCAGAAGCTCACTCTGTTTTCCTTTTTAAATAAATAGCAAAATGAAAGCCAAACACACTAGCATTTAAACATTGTGTTATTGGTGAAAGGACTTTTGTCTTGTTTCACATTTAATTTTTGTTTGTTTGTTTTTGAGACATAGTTTTTCTGTTTAACCTCTCTGTCTGTTCTGGAACTCTCTCTGTAGTCTGTAAATCAGGCTGGCCTTGAACTCACAGGATCCACCTGTCTCTGCCTCCCATAAAGCCAGGCGTAGTAGCTATGCCTGGAATTCTAGTACTTGGGAGGCTGGAGTTGGGTGACTGCTGTGAATCCTAAGCCAGCCTGAGCCACACAATGAGTTCTAAACCAGTCTGAGCTACAGAAAACAAACACAAGATAAATGACATAAAATTCTGACTTCAATCAATTAATTATGACCACCCGTAAACATGAATGAAATATCTGCTGTTGAAGATGCCGCAGTGTTCAGTAGGGCCCACAACTGTCAGTTGTCCAGCAGGACAGGGGAGGCTGTCTATGGAGCTCACCTGCTAATGAGGGAAGCCCCAAGTGTCAGCTCCATTCAAACCACAGACTGCACCTGTGTGAGTCACCTGATGAGATCTCAGTCACAGAGGACACAGGTGACATGATGCCAGACACCACTGTGAATGCCATGAGGCTGAAGTTTCAGACCCCACACTGTGGGAATATACATTTCTGTTCTTTATCAATTTCTCAGTCTCTGGCATTTAAATGGAGTCACACAAGCTGACTAAGAGACTGATTGTGTATCATTCATCCACCCATCCATCCACCCATCCTTCCACCCATCCATTTACCCATCCATCCACCCACCTATCATCCATCCATCCATCCATTCATCCACCCATTCATCCATCCCTCTACCTACCCACCACCCATCCATCCATTCACCCATCCACCCACCTATCATCCATCCACAGCACCTTTACAAGATTTAGCAAGGGCTATAACTAGGAATAAATGGTACTTCTTAGGCCCTCTCTTCCCCCATTAATAAGCCCAAGGTTATGCAAACAGATTTATTGAGTAAAGTATTCTGAAAACTGTAGATACAGCCCTTTCTACTCCCCAGTTAACCAAAGGGAATCCCTTCCTAAAGAGGGTGTGTTAGAGAGCGAATGCGTGGATGGTAGGGACTCAACTGGATATATTTTTTAAATATGAAAAGTAATAATATATTTCAGAGCCATCTGAACAATGCCTGAACTGGGTATTGGCTAGATTTAAAAAGTATGCTAACTGAAAAAAAAGTTAATTGAAAAATTTCAGATATAGCAACATCCCACACATATTTAAACATTCCTACACAGAGGAAAAAAAAATAAGCAAACAGCTATAGGTATAGTAGCCCTTGTCTGGAACCTCAGCAGTCTGGGGACAGAGGCAGGAGGATTGCTTGCAAATTTGAAGCCAGCCTGGTCAACATAGTGAGGCCTAGGTCAGCCAGGGCTGAGTGGTGAGATTCTATCTCAAAATCAAAACAAAAGAAAACAAAATGATAACTATGACCCTAGTAGCACGGTGATAGGTTTTGTGATAAGTGTTCCGCAAAGCCCCATGTCAGGATGGTGGTGGAGCCTTAAGGCGGCATCCTCAAGGTCCTCAAAGAGAGACTGATAACTTGGTCTCTCCCTGTTTTTCTGATATGCTTTGTGACTGTCTTAAGCCAAACAATCTCCTCTGTCATGTGCCAGCACTTTGAACTATTCACCAGAGGCCCAGTGCAGTAGGGACAGTTGACAAGGGACTCAATTATGGAACAGTCTGTCATAGGAAAGCTTTTCCTTTATTACGTTAATTATCTCAGGTATTTTCTTATAGCAATGCAAAGCTGTCTATACAATGTTGATGTGTATATCCAACCATAGGTCTTTTATTTCTCTATTTCAATTATTTATTTAATTTCGTTTTGTGACAGGGTTTCTCTGTATAATAGTCCTGGCTGTCTTGGAATTCACTTTGTATACCAGGCTGGCCTTGAACCCAGAGAGATCCACCTGCCTCTGCCTCCTGAGTGCTGGGATTAAAGGCTTGCGCCACCATGCCTAGCTTCAATATGTTTTATGTCACTTGGGCTCACGTATGAGGGTCAATCTCTCCTACTTTTAGAAACTATTATCATTTAGTCCTGGAAGGACGGTGGCCAGCATGCACATTCTGTTCAAATAGCAGACAGCTGAGAGCCAACACAGAGACTCCCAGAGGACCTTGCCTTCTTCTCTTCTTGCAACTTGAACATTTTCGCTGGGTTTCAGGTGTCAATCTGTTCTACACATCAGCAGTTTTGCATAGGAAATGCTGAGAAAACGATTTTACAAATTTTTTTTTTAAAAAAACTATTTGGAATTGAGAATCCAGCTAGAGATGATGACAGGGAAAGAAAATTATGCCGGAATGAAGCTCAGTATGGCTGTGGTCAGGGCACGCCGCAGAGTGGACGGGGTGAGTGAGGTTTCCTGTGGAATCATCCTAAAGTCAGGAATCATAGTGCTTCCGCGGTTCCTAGACCCAAGCATATTACTGAAGATTACATCCCACAAAGAAGATTTCCACCTGATTGGCAGGAGAGAAATGGGAACCTAGTACTTAATTCCCTTGAAGAGGCTCTTTTCTTCAGATCAAAGTCCTGATCTGTGCAGAAAAGTCTGATTCTTCTTCTTAACTAAACATCATTTAATGGACAGAAGATTATTTCTCATAAACCGATATACAAAATACCACTATTGAAATCTCAGGAGCATTGGTTAACTAGTTTCCTCACTTCATAGCCGTAATCAGGGTTTTGTTTTTTGGTGGAAGGGGGTGGCCAAAGGAGAACTAAGAAACAATATGTGCAATGTACTAATGAGAAAGAAATGATGTATTATTTGAAGCGAAATTCACAGTATTGTCACAGAATGTCCGCGGTAAAGTAGCATCGACCTTGGCCTTACCCTTTAATTTCAAGGCTTCTAATACCTTTGAAGCGGCAGCCACATCGCTCACCAGCTTGATTTCGATGTTTTGTGACGTCAGCTGGAGCAATTTCTCAAAGAGACGTTGACCCTGGGAAAAATATTCAGAGACAAAGGAAGACAGAAACCTAAATGTTTGCCATTTGGAGTTGGTATAAATAAACCTTTTAAACTTTATGTATTCAGATTGCAAAAGGCAAGCGCTCCAGTGACGGGTATTCACAGATGTGCGAAGTTCTCTGAGTTTCCTGACTAGAATAGAAACACGAACGTAGATGGCATTCTGTCTTTTCAGGCACTGTGCAATCCAGCAATCTGCAATAATAATTTTAATAACAGGATACAAATTTATTTCCCTTTTACTTTTAAAGCTGTAGGTACCTGCACATAAAGACATAGTGGAAAAATATTCAATAGCTACAGTTTGGACAGAAAGACCAACTGTTTTTTGTAATTTACAAACCATGCTTTTTAATCTCACTGGTCTCCAGTGCTTTCCTTGTAAATACAGACTACACTCACTTTGAAAGATTTCTATGATGTCAGCAAAGATCATCAAAACTACTGTGGGCATTTATGGTCACTGATTTACTTCATCTTGTCTAAAACCTATTTTACTGGACGGAACAAATGTTCTGTATCTCTCTATATTTATATATAATATGTTTATATTTATATAACAAATGTAAAATGAGGCTTGCCTAGTAAGAGTCTCAGAAGCATATAATTTTTATGACTTATTTTGGGTAGACTGAGTGATGGAGGAGCCAGGCATGACCCTATCTCCAGGGATGACACTGGACTAGCACATAGTGTTTGTTTTCCATCTGTGTTGAGATAGGCACTGGTCTATTGTTTCTGAGTTTTGCTGTTTGTTTGTGTGGACCTCAAACACAAATACCTTCAAAAGGGCCAGCTGGATAAGGCTTAGGTCTTAATGGGCCCCAAGGGAACCATTATGCTTACCTTATCTTGATAAAAATCCGTGGTTGGTAATGATTATTTATAAAGGATTTGGTGATTGGGAGGAGTTGATGAAGCAAATGAGGATGCAAATGAGGATACAAATGAGCATGCAAATGGGGATGCAAATGGGGATGCAAATGAGGATGCAAGCAGTGATTCCCCGAAAAGCCTCCTTAAGGAGGAGGAAGATCAAAGATTAAAAGGCAAGGAGCTGGTGTGACAGCTGACAGCAGAAGGGGGTGTCTGGCACCTCTCACTTGGAGATGGTCTGCAGCCAAAGGTTTATGTCTCCTGGGCACTGGGGGATACCCTCTGCCTTTCAGCCTGTTAGTAGAGGTTGAGGTTGCCCATTGTGGAGCTTGCCTCAGACTCTCAAAGTTCTCAGTACCCCAGAGCCTGGGGGTAGCTTCACCCCTAACAGACAACATGGGGAAAACGCATAATTGAAACATGCAAATGCCTATTAACAAGGCCTAAAGAGGACGGAAAGTGTGGGAGGGTGACCCCCAGCCGCTGGTTTGCTGCTCTTGGTATGGGAGGCTATTCGTTTTCTTACAATTTATCATTTGCATGTATTCATGTATGTGTGAATGGGAGCCACTGCTCTGTACACAGGGGTTGGCGGAAGGCAGTTGGAGCTACCAGATGTCCTGGAGATGGAGTTACAGGTGGTTGTGAGCTGTCACACATGAGTGCAGGGAACTTAACTACTCTGGAAGAGCAGCAAGTGCTCTTAAGTGCTGAGCCTCCTCTCCATTACCCTTGGGGTGTGAATTCTGAGTGAGGGCACCGGCAACAAGAGACTTCATACACAGCGTGAGGGCACATCCAAGTCGTGGAGCTCATGGCTTTTTCTGGTCCACATAAGCCACATAAGGCTGTCTGCACGGTGCGGATTGCTACCCCACCCCTCACCCTGGTCAACATTGATTCATGCAAGTTGGTTGTATTTTTCTGTTTCACACACACACACACACACACACACACACACACACACACACACACAAAACCCACGTTGTGTCTTGGCAATATCCTATAGTTAGTGAGTCAGTGTTTTTCTTATGTTCATTTTAAAAAATTTTTAGTTAACAAAACACATTTAGCAGAAATAAAATAGAAGTTGTCACCCGACCCGTCTTTATTCTAGACCCTACATCTTAAGCTTACTCCCCTTGTATTCTTTTGTGAGACTTGAATCAAGGACCAGAACTCTTATACATGAACGAAAATAGAAACTCTGAAACCTACAGATGAAGGCAGCTGCCTTTCCCTGTTACTGGGTGTGGGGATGACTCAGGCTAGGGAATCTGATGGGTTCAACGGTAACATTCACTATGATGAACTTGGGCTTATAGAACTTCTGTCCATAGGCTTGAGTGGAACTTCTATTAAGTCATTGGTTTCTGACATGTTATGTCCCTGCCCCAACATTTTTGTTATAATAAATGTTATAAGTTATATAACATTTAGAATGTACCAACTTTCTGTGTATGTTGGGGGGCTGGGTATATGTATGCATATGATGTGTATGTGTATGCATATGATGGGGTGCACATGTTTCTGAGTGTGTGCTTATGGAAACTCAATGTCAGTTTGGGATGCCATTCTTCAATACCATTTACCCTGATTTTTGAATTGTTTTTGAGACAGATGCTAGGCAGGCTGGCCAGCAAGTCCTGGGAATACACCTGTTTCTGATTCTCCAGTACTGGGAGTACAAGCATATGCCACCATGCCTGTTCGTTTGCTTTTTCTTTTCTTCCTTCTTTCCTTCTTTCCTTCTTTCCTTCCTTCCTTCTTTCCTTCCTTCCTTCCTTCCTTCCTTCTTTCAGCATGGCTTCTGAGGATCAAATTCAAACTGTCATGTCTGTGTATCAATTTATGAGCTGAGCCATCTCTCCAACCTCACAGTGTACTAACTTTCAAAAGTATAGTTTTCAAGATTTCAATGTGTTTATGCCTATGTGTCTGTGTAGGGACATGTGCACGTGAGCGAAGGTGCCAGAAGAGACCAGAAGAGGCTGTAGGATGCCCTGGAACTGGAGCTTCAGATGGTGGTGAACTCTCTGACTAGGGCGCTGAGAACAAAACTTGAGTCCTCTTCAAGGGGAGGACATGCAGTAGCTAAGCACTCTTATCTGCAGCAGCAGCTCTCCGGCTCACACGTGACAAAGCTTTACACATTATACCATGCACAGGTCTCCAGCAATTTTCTCTGTGTTGAATTCGCTCTTTAAAAAAAAAAAAAAAGTAAAAGGAAAAAAGAGAAATAACAAAAACCTCATGTCTTTTAAGTATCAACAAAAATTTAAAAATCTTATCCTTTCTTCTGAAAACCATTATTCACTGGTTAGACTTATGAACCAAGCATGGATGTAAGACTGATTTTAAATTAGGTACATATATCAACATGTGTGCATGGAATCACATATGGTTAACATTGAATGTTAACCTCACAGTATCCAGAATCACCCAGGATACACATGCCTATGAGGGATTACCTGGGTTAGGCTATTGAGGTGGGAAATCCTGTCTTAACCATGGATGGCACCACAGCATGATTTTGTTGAGGTATTTTATCACTGCAAACAGAAAAGTAACTACGGGAGGTTACCCGGGAAGAAATGAGATTTGAGGTGACCAGATGATTAAGGCCTTATACACCTTAACCAGGACAATGAAAAAGGGTTTTTAGCCCCGGGCTAAAAAAGCTGGTTATGGGAAGGTGAGCAGAGAAATTATATGGTCAGGTAGGGAAGTCTTGCTATGCCTAGAGGAGAGAAGACTCTCAGATGGTGGGAACTGTCTTTGGGGGTATCTCTCTTCTTATTGAAGAGACATGCTTTATGAAGGGAGTTTTCCTTTATGAATGCAACTATCCTTTACAAAAAAGGGAAAGTACACTCTATTCTAGGTAGAAATAAGAAGCTTTCCCTATACATGCTGGTTCTCACTTGCCATTGGGCAAAATAATCTGCATGTTCAAGGTGCATATTTTGGCGTAACATATTTTGATTCTGGCACCCTCAACCCATAATGATGTGGGGGTTATAAATTATTCTTGTTTCTGTTGACTCAAAATAACTGCTACAGAGAAAGAAACGCCCAAATTCAACATGAAAGGAAAAAACAAAGATATTAAGTATGACAGAGAAGCTGTGCGTGGTACAGTGAGCTCGAGAGAAGTGTATAGACCATAGGAGTAGTTCTCGATTTTGCCTTATAATAAAATTCTTTGTTCACATAAAATGTATTTTTATTTTATTTGTGTGTGTGTGTGTTCATGATCATGTATATGTGCACATGTGCATTCATGTATGTGTATGTGAAGGTCAGAAGAACAACCTTGGGTTATTTTCTCAGATGCCCTCTATCTTTTGTTTAAAGGGTCTCTCATTGAACTGGAACTTCCCAAAGAATATATGGCCAGAAAGCTTCAGAGGTAATAATAATGTAACTCCATCATACCATTGATGACATTACAAGCACATGCCACCATGTCCAGTTTTGTATGTGGGTTTGGAGAATTGAATTCACATCCTCATGCTTGCGGCAGAAGAACTTTATCAACAGAGCTATCTCTCTCTATGCCCTAAAATAAAATCTTGAACTTAGCATTTTCTTAAATTTTTTCTATGTTCTCTTGTGTAGAATTCAGGGACTCCACAGATGACTTGCGAAAGCCATAGAATCATCAAGATTCCAAGATTTGATAACCAAATGAGAATGCCATAGATATAAGATACTTTGGAGATCCACCAATCTTGTTTGGTAATTAAGAACATTGGAGAAAAACAACAGCAAACAAAACAAAATAAAAACAAAACCATGAGGGATAGGCTGAAGATACTCAGACTGCTGGTGGCCAGCCAGGCCTTGGAGCTTTGGCTGTTCTCAATCAGAACCATTTTGTTTAGAAAGAGGTTACTTCCAGGTCTCCCATTCCCATCAAGGGACATCACAAAGATAAGAAGACCTCTCACTAGTCCCCACTTCCTCATGTATCCCTCTACTTCTGTAGGAGACCTGGACAATAACACATGAGACTCTGGAGGACACTCAGCACTCAAGCCATGGTGATGCTCAAACATTTATGTCTTTTTTGTTGGATACACTTCAATATAT